GGCGAGCTGCTCTTTTTCTTACTTGTTTTGTTATTTGGGGTGGGCTCCCCCGAGCCTCTTCTTCCTCACTGTGCCCACAGTCTGTGGGGCACTCCATGGCCCCCTCTGCTAGGGTATCATGGATTACCAGAGGGGTGAACCCCCCTGAGAGTGAAAATTCCCTAAGAGATGGTACTGCTAGGGTATCACAAATTATCAGAGAGGCAGATCTCTCGGGGAGCAAAAATTGGCTAGAGATGGTCACACCAGCGGAGTCCCCGCTTGTGGCAGCGTCATTAATCCCATGATGTCACCCAAGGTCCAGGCTCAACCTTTCCCAGTTCCGCGCACGTGTGCATCGTAACATTTGAGCGAGCCCACCATGGTAAGGAGACCAGTGTCCCCGCAGTCCCCGCAGCTGAAGCCCAAAGTCCGTAGTCCGGTGCCAGGTGGTTCGTAAAGCAGCCCCCAGTTGGAAACGATGGCCGGGAGGGGGTGGACCGAGACAGAAGCGATAACGGCGGCCCATCAGCGAATATCAGCGATGCGATCAGGCTCTCCTGTTTGGAGACCTCGATGTCCCAGGTCTCCCGCATTCGATAACCAGACACAGTGGAGACCTCCACGACCCAGAGCCGGTTCATCGCCTCCACAGGACTGCTACCAAGGGCAATGGCCCCAAAGACATGCCCTCCGTACCCTGAAAGAAACCCCCTCGGCTCCCAGAAGGGGATCTTTTTCATCTGCAGGAAATGAGGAGGAGGCAAAATGGCACCAGGGAGCAGATTGGCATGTGGTTACATCTGTGCCAGGGAAGGTGATCGCCGCCCATATTCCAAGTGGCTTCGTAACACCGTGGTCCAGAGCCCCCGCGATGCCCTCCCGTGCCCTGAGCACTTGGCCAGCCTGCGCTCCGGGTGGCATCCCTCCTGGGCATCCACCCACTGTGCCACCTTCCCGCTCCGCAGTCTCCTGGATGACAGCACTTGGGACATGCCAGGGCTTCTGTGGCTTCCATCTGCTGCAGAAAGTTCTCAGCTGCTGTTTGGCTCTCGGCTGTCACTCAGGGCGTATTTATAAATACAGCAGGAAGTTGTAAGGGGGGGGGATTTGGCGGTCCCACTCCGTGCCAGGCTCCGTGTGCAGGCATCCAGGGCTGCAGGAATGCTGTCATCAGTCAGAACGATGCTCAGGATTTCACAGGAGGCTTCTTACCCCTCAACACTTCCAAAAACAGCCTGGGAGAGTGGAGAGGAGTGGAAAATCGATCCGAGAGAGAGAGAGAGAGAGAGAGAGAGAGAGGAAGCCTGTCTGGAAACAAAAAGGATCTGGGAAAAGAAGAGAAGGTGCAACAGCCCCAAATCAATTCTCTGGGGTATTTTAAACAGTGATGGGTGAGCCTGTGCAGAGCGCATCTGAGGGCAAAGAATCCCTGAGGTGAGAAGAGTTGAGTTAAGGCAGGTTCGCATGTTCACTTTCCTGAAGCAAATTGGAAACAGGGACCAAGTTCTGCCCATAGAAAGGATCCATCTCCAGGATGAGGATGAGGATGAGGAAGAAGAAACTTGCTCTCTGCTGAGACCCTCCGATTGCTGCCGATCTGAGCAGGCCAGGCTGGCCAGATGGAGAACGGCTCCACCTTGGGTTCAAGGCGGTTTGCTCCCTTCTTGGGAAAAGGTTCCGATTTCACAGAGAGGCAAGAGACAATAGTGAAGCGCTGGGGTTCTGGCCGGGTCTCTGCCCATCTCCCCCCAGCTAAACCCTGCCTGTCCTCTCTCCTCTTGCTAAGCAGGGGGGTGGTCTCTCGGGGATGCCCCCCCCCATTGCTGCCAGGGCGTGGGCCTTTGACGCTGCAGATCCTGGGCTCCATCCCGGCCGTCTCAAATTGAGAAGGTTGCAGGGGAAGAGCAGGTGGTTGCAGGGGAAGAGCAGGCCAGGTGGGCTGGCCTGAGGACAAGGCAAGTGGTTTGGTTTTGTGCACGACTCTCTTAACAACCACTTCTCTTAGCAGTGGAAATTCCGTTCCAATTGTGGTCATAAACCAGGGACGGCTTGTATTGTAAGCGGGGGTGGGTGGGTGGGAGGTGGGGGAAAGAGTTTCTGTCTGGAGATCTACTAGAGGCTTTAGCTGCCCCAGGAATCGTAACACTGGACTACGAGCCACAATGCCTGGCTTGTTGCAGCACATTTAACTCAACAACCAGTTACAGCAGAGGGGGCCTTCAGCCTGTTCTGGAGACCTGGTAACGGAAATTTTGAGTAGTTTGGAGACCCAGCAAATGCCCCCTCGGACTGGGGATTTCGCAGTCTCCTTCCCCTGCCATGCCCACCAAGCCACGCCCACAGAACCAGTAGTAAAACAAAACGGAATCCCACCATTGAGTTACAGCAATGCAGCGGCCGAGCCCAACTCATCCCTCCGTGGGGCCTGTCCCCAGGCCTGGAACCCATCTCTTTGGGTGGGTCAGCATCAACCTCTTTGTGCCAGAGGCCTGGAATTCACAGCACCTGGACCAAACGTGGGAGGCTTCAGGCGAAGGAGGGAAACCTCTTGAGGAGGCAAGGAGGCCGCCTGTTGATCTGGCTCTGGGTCAGCCTCCTCCTAAGCGACAACGGAGGATGCCTTGGGGGCCTGGGAGAAGTGGCCTTCCCCTCTCCGTGGCCTCCGCTGAGCTGATTTACAACCAGCCAACTCCGCTGCGTGCTGAGAACGGTGAAGGAGGCGGCTTCATCCTTGGCTCTCCCGCAGGAGACTTCATCCCAGAGAGAGGGTCTTTGCAGGGAAGGGATGGCTGGGGAAACTGCCCGCCATGCGGCCCCTGCTGAGCCTCCTGGGAAGTCTGGAGAATCCGGAAGGGGTGGCCGGCTGCCCCTTTGCAAGGCAGCTTCACACGGAGCTGAAGGGCCCCTCTCTGCCCTCCGCACAGCCAGCCTTGGGGGTAAATGGCGCTATGCCCCTGCATCAGGGTGTGCATTGTGCCCAACCCAGTTGAAGAACTGCAGGCCTTGAAGGGTTCCACCTGTTCTTCATGGGAGACCTGAAGGGTCTGAGAATGAAAGAAGGGGCAAGGGCTATGACTGAGTGGCTGGCACGGACATGCATCGCCCGGCTCCTTCCGTCCAATTTCCTGTGGTGCATGCCGAAGAGCCCCCCCTCCCCAAACCCAGGAATCCCTGAGGGGTTGCCCGCTCTCAGCCCCTGGAAGGCTGCAGCCCCATCTACACCAGAGGGCAGGGGGTTTGTGGTGTTGAAGCTCCCTGCCCCAGGATTGTGCCCAGGATGGGGCGCTACTCAGCGATGCTTAGGCCTACTCTGGGCAAAGAGGTTTCCTGCCTTAAGAAAGCTCGGCTCCCTGCATGGACAGGCCGTCTGCTGAGGAGGACTTAGGCTGGGCTTAGGTTGCTGCTCCGCGCCCTCCAGGGACATCTGCCTTGGCTCTGTGCCCAGCTTCATTTAGCCCAGGTAGCATCCTTCCCCCGCCCCCCTTTCTCTGGTGTGTGAAGTTCACTTCATGGTGCCACAGTTGCCCCCCTGAAAGCTGGCTGCTCCGTCCCCTCCAGGAGCCTCTGGCTGACCCCAGGCAGGGCGGCAAAGAGGAAGCTTTCCTTCTTTGGTTCTCCTCCCAGCCCTGGCCAGGCCTGGCTGTGAGACGCCGTGACGGATTGCCGCAGCTGCTGGCACACTTGCGCAGAGCCGTCAACCTCAAGTGCATCCTCTCTAGTGGAGCAGGGAAAGCAATGAGGTTGGCAGCCTGGGTGGGTGGCTGGTGGCAGGTGCCTCTGTTGAGCAGCTGCTCCCGCTTTCTCTCCCCACAGTCACCCCACCTTTCTCCTGCTCTGCCCCGGCTAGGTCACCCCCAAACAATCTTCTGGAAGGGCCGCCACAGGCAGAGAGGACACCCCCTTTTGCAAGTGCAACCCCTCTGGGAGCATCTGGAACCCGCTGGCTGGGGAACTGCGAAGGGGCCCAATCCTGCTCCAGTGCTGTTGGCCTCAGGCGTCGTTGGTGGCGTTAAATGCCGGGCGTTTTCCAAGTTCCTCAATGCCTGCATTTCATGGGAAGACTAAGCAGCTCATAAAAGTGCAACGTCCAGCCCAACAGAAACCGGCAGCGCAACCGGCAACCCGCAGCCAGCCCAGAATTGCACAAGCAGATTCTGAAATGCAAAGGTGGAGATGATCTCGGCGGATCCTGTGGGGCGGTTCAGCCTGGAGCCGTCTTATGTGGTTGGGGCTTAGAACAATGAGCGAGCGTGGAGACCATGAAACATGGCTTAGCATTACGTGTGACACAGGTCCCTGGGGCTTGTTGAGCAAACCACGATTCGGCTCAAGAGGTGAATCCATTTTGAGTTATTTAAGAGAACTGGGCACGCAGAAAAGTTAATCGAGGGAAATGAACCAGTCTTCTTGTTCAACCAGACGCTACCACCCAAGACCTAATTTTTCTGCAGGGAGGGATGGAAGGGATGGAAGTGGCAGGTATGCCATGTGGCCTTTAGGCTGGATTGGGGAGCCAGACAGCACCCCAACCCTGGGATCACATGCCCCCTGCTCCTAACCAGGTGGGGCATCTCCCGTAGGCGGGAATGCAGGTGCCGCTAGTGTCTATTCAATCCTCGTAAGCCATGTTTTGGGCTGGTTTGTGAGAACTCGGCCACTGAGCTGCAGGAGTCCGACTCAGGAGTGGCAAAAGCTGGGCGGGGGGGTTGTGCCTTAGCCCAGCTAGTCTTGCTCTGGGCATCACGATGTCATTGTGGCTATTTTAAAAAATTGCCTTATTTGCACGATGGTGATGGTGCTGTGCAGCCCCCCGGTCCCTTGTGCTTCCCCAGGTGCTCATAGCAGTTTGTCTCTCTCGGGAGGTTGGCCTGGACAACGCACTGGTCCCAGTTCTGATCTGGGGCCTTCTCGGGGGCTCTTGGCCCAGGTGGCACCAGCCCAGCCGTCCGTCTACCTTGGGCCACACCTTCAGGCCTGGTTGCTCACACCTTCCCCCCCTTCTCGCTTCCCCCTTGCAGGCAGCGTGGAAAATCAGGCAGCCACCATGCCCGACTCGCCGGCCGATGTGAAGACGCAGCCCCGCTCCACCCCCCCGAACATGCCCCCACCATCACCAGCGGTCTCCCAGGGAGCCACGCGGCACCCGACCTTCACCTCAAACCCCAGTGAGTACCCTCTCCCTCCCTCGGGGCTGAGTCAGGGGGAGGTGAGGGAGGGGGATTTGCTGGAGGAGGCCTGGGGGTGCTCCCTTCCTCCCAGTTTTTCTGGGGTTCTGCAGCTTGTTGCTTGAGTTTGATAGGAATAACGGGACATCCTTAAAGTAGAACGGAATGCTTTGGCTGGGGAGGGGGGGTTGAGTTTCTCCCACCGTGGATTCTGCCGCCTTCTTTGATAGAAGGAAAGGATACCTTGAGGTGATCTCTGCTGACAGGTTCTGGCTCTGGATTTGGGCATGCAGTTCCCGACCTGCATGCAGAAAAATGCCTTTGATGGGGGAATCAGCAGCGCAAAGCAAAGCAAAACGAGAAGGTTGCTTCCTCTGTCCCCCTCCCTCCCCTGCAATGGCCAGGGCTCCTGTTTTCTTTGAGGAGGGGGGGAAGCACTGAAGGAAGCCCACAAGGGCAGGAGAGAGGCAGGCAGGTGCTTCTCCTGCTGCACCAGACCCCGCAGTCAGATAATTGGCAGTTCCCCCCGTTTTTGTGTGGAAGGGTTCTCCTTGGACCCAGAACGGCATCGGGTGCCAGGCGGGTGGGCTTGGATGCTGTCCACCCCCACCTTCTCTCTTTGGGCCTCTTTCAAATGCTGCCATATGGCGCTGCATTTGGCATGCCAAGAAAACGGTCCCTCGCCCCACCCCGTGGGAAGCGCCGGCTTCGGCGGATGCCAGCCGGCTCTCGTTCTGCTCGGGCAGCTTCAAAGCAAAACGGGTGTGGCAAAAAGAGGTGGGCAGAGGGTTTGCTCCTGCGCCCGCCCAACTGGAGCTGAACAGGCAGCCCAGGAAAGGAAGATGAGGGGCAGTGCCCAGAAGGAGAGGAGCCCCAGGGCGGGCCTCAGGTATGGCAAAATCTTTGAGAGTACTGGGAGCCTACTCCACACTCGCTCTTAGAGGGGGTGCTTGGACCTCAGCGGGGTGAATTGGCACCTGCTTTGTGTCCCAGAAGTCCAACACCTGGCTGGTCTTTGCCAGAGACCCATCGTTCACCTGGCTCATGCCAGGCTGCTTTGCCCCAGACGCTCTTCAGAATGCATGGGATTGTTTTAGCCGTGGGTCCTGGGGAGAGACGGCTCCCTCTGCTGCCAAGCCCACTTCGCCCCATCAAAGGCAGACATTTTGGGGGTGGGAGAAAGGGAAAGGAGACCACCAGCGAAAGGGTAGCTGGGGAGACATGGAGCCAGTCCGCACTGCTTCACTGTCTCCGAAAGTGGCTGCTTTCTGGTGCTTCTCTGGTTCCACTGCGGGAGGTGGGCAGTGGGGTGTTTCTGCCCTTTGAGCAGGAGGAAGGCACCCCCTCCCTCGGCCTTGCACGGACCCCTAGCAGCTGCTCCTGCTCTGCCTGGCAGCCTCCGGTGGACCCGGAGCCAGGCTGAGGGAGCTCCTTGTGTGGCCCAGGGGTCAAGGCCAGGATGCCCCATCCAGAGTGCCCCGTGCTCTTTGCTTGCCACTGAAGGGGAGGGCTCCGTTCGGGCTGCTCATCCTTCTTCCGAAGTCTCAGGTCACATTCCGTGTTTGCTTAAGGCAGCCAGCCTGGAGGAGAATCAGGCAGGGCCTGAGGTGGGGATGAGTTTCCCTTCATTCCTTAAGCGGGTTTGAGGCCATGAAGATTCGTCCACCAGGGTCTGGTTGTTGCCTATATCTGGACTTCGGCCTTTGACTTGGCTGGTGGGAACGCTGGGTGGCTTTGGCTTGGCTGATGGCCACCCCTCAACCAGCAGAGCCCCATCTGGCAGCCCAGTTGCCCCCACCGCCCCCACCATCTGGCACACACACACCCCAGTCCTGGGGATTGGGAGCGGCGTTCCTGTGGCCAAAGTCACAGGGCAGTGGGCGGAGGTTGCGTGGCAGATGGGCCTTTTCCTCCACTCACAGGTGAACGCTCCAACAGCAGATGGGTTGCCGTCTCCACAGGCACAGGGCTCCGTGCCGAAGCCCCAAAATAGTTGCTGCGAGAACACTCGAGGCGCCAGATCGCTTCCCTGTTCAGCTTCAAGCTGCAGCGCCCGGCTCAAAATTAGCAACTTTGGAACTGAGGGAGAATTCCTCCTCCTTCCCTCTCCTGAAGGCTGGCAGGCTGGACGAGCTGCCCAACGGCCGAGCCCCAAGAACAGCCCCCAGCCTTTTGATGGAGGGTCTGTTTTTCACTCCCCCCTCTCACCCCTTTCCTTGCCCTGAATGACGTCTCCAAGTCAACCCGAGGCATCCCCTTTCAACCAAACCTTCTCTGAGGCGGCTCCGTCCAGGTGCGCTTTCGGTGGTCAGGAGACGAAGAGCTGGGAGTCCCGTAAAGGAGGCCCTTTTCACACCCACCCCAGCCATAGCAGGACGGCTGCTTTCTGCCCAAGTAATGTGTGGATGCCTCCCCAGGGTCAGAAGTAGAGAAGGATGGGAAGTGAGGATTCCTGTCCGATTTGAAAGCAGGCAACTGGTGCTTGGCAGAGGCTAAAAACGGTGCTCACTCCAACTCTTGGGTTGAGGGTCAACCCTCCCTCCCCACGGCCAGGGCATTGCTTTCAGTGGGACCCCTCAGCCAAAGGAGAGGATTCCCGAGGCCCCCCAAGCAGGCCCAGGATTGGAACCCACCCACGAGCAAAGGGAAGGCCGGTCCGTTTTCCATCTGGTGCTTCTCCAGCCCGTCTACAAACTCTTCCCAGGGAAGTGCGGCCTCTAGCTCAGCCGTGGAGCCTCTTCTGGGCACACGGGCAGCATCACACGATGGCCCTCGGCCACCCAGGGGAGCAGAATGTTACACCCCAGTGTGTCCAACGTTGGTGCTAGCCTCCAAGCATGCTTAGTCTGGCAGCTGACTGTCCCTTTCCCAGGCCTGCCTGCATCCTGAAGAGAGGCTCGACTGTTCTCGGGCTCTGCCTCCGAAAAGCTCGTCCAGCTCGTCCAAAGGGTTCCTAGAACTGCTAAAGCAGCAAAGTCAACCCCACTTGCCTTGGGGGCTGCCTGGACCTTTGTCTTCAAGGCAGCAGGCCCACAAAAGCACCCACGGAACGTGGCCGAGCTTCCTTCCCTCTTCGGCAGCAGGAGCTGACCCAATTCTCCATCCCCTCAGTCTACAGGAAGGGGAGGCAACCCATTCTTGTTCTGGGGAGAGACGCCTGTAAGGAAGGGTGGGGGGGCATCCACCCTGACCGTAAGTCGCCAACCTACTTTAGCGTCTCCCGGTTTATATTTTGAACCTTCAGGATACTGAAAATAGCCGAAATACCTGGCAGTAAAGCATGCTTTTGAGAACCTGTTTCTCCGCCTGCCCTGACCTCTCCACACGTTCAGCCATGAGTCACCCAGTTCATGAGCTGGGTAACTATTCAGGGGCCTGTACTGTTGGATGAAGCTCTCTGGAGATAGAAGGGGGGAAGCGGGTGGGGATAGAACCACACAGATGTTGCTAATTCCTTGGGGTGGGGAGGGCAGTTCTGCATGGCTTCCCCTTTTGCAAAATATCTTGGCTTATATCGAAGCGACATCCTCGTGACCAGCAGCTTGATAAGTGCCTGATTGATGTGGCAAGGAAGAGACGAAGCCAAGCCTGATTTGGCATGAAGGCTGCCCGTTGCTTTCCTCTACCTCTGTAATGCCAGGATAAAGGGCGAGTAGCTCAGTCTGGCCATCTGCAGGACTTGCACTGAGGAATGGTAGACCCCTGAGCCTGCTTGTAGACTAGAGTTGGTCCTCTGCCATCTGCCATCAGCCAAGGAGGGGCTCCTTGTTTTAGCTCTGCTCTGCCCAGCCCAGCCGCTTCTGAGAATTTCTAAGGGTTTCGCCCCTGGAAGTGAAACGTCGTATGTCCTCCCAGAGACCATAAAGCCCGACCGTCCCCAGCTTAGTGCGATGAAAAGGCCTCTCCACGCCTCGGGTCTCTCCTGATAGCGTATGTTTTATTTTACTTGCAGATCGTGATGCTGGGCCGCCGATGTTTCTCCCTCGCGGCCGATTTCATGGCTGCCTGAAATGGTCCATGGTGTGTCTCTGTAAGTAAGATGAAACAAACCCTCCGCTAGAGACCCAAAGGCCGAGCCCAGTTTGGCTTGTGCCTTCGGAAGAGCCGGGCTGGAGGGAGGGGGCAGCTGCCAGGCAGCGGCACTCAGGTGCTGGGACTGGGAAGAGGGGGTGCGGATCCCTCCTGGGTTGGGGCCCCTCCCCATTTGCTCTGCGTAGGTCCCTAGTTAGCAGGGTAGGGCCCCAAAGGTTAAAGAGGCAGCTGCCTCGGTGGGACCCAATCTCCACGCTTTTCGTGTGCACTGCACACAAAATGCAAAGCACATTAAAAGAAGGTGGCGCTCGGATGACCCTGTGGCAGCCGCCACATCTTGACTTTGCTGCGATGTCTTGTAAAGGCCGCTGCTGATCACTGAACCAGCATCACAAGAAGTTAGATCCAGAGGATTGTCCTTAGGAGTTGAGTGTATCCCTGGTTCTCCTCTGCAACAGGCTATTTCAAATCTCTGCTCATGTCTATCTGGCGAGGGTCAGTCATCTGTTGCGGGAGAGACCCCGTTGCAGCTGCATTTCAGAGTTTCTCCCTTCCCGGACATCACAGGGCGCTATTGGTTGAGTCAGGATAGAAAACCCCCTTGGGAATCCTTTGCAACGTTCATTTGTGTCAGATCAGCAGTGCTGAGACTGAGCAAATAGAAGACATGTGATGTTCCTTCCCTCTGGCGTTTGCGGGGAGATGCAAAGGGCAACCCTGGGGGGTTTTGGTCTGTTCTTCCTGGCCTTACGTGAACCATTAAGATCTCTGCAAGGAAGCTGGACCACAAACATTTTAATAGGGCTGTTTCGCGGGACAGCTGGGAGGTTTGTGGCCAGGCCATACCTACCACACATCCCTGTCCAGAGAGTCCCTAGGAAGAGGCTGTTCCAATCCCAGGATCACATGGAGAGGCCAGCAAGGTTGGCGCCAACAATGCCCCTCTCGCTCAGGCAGACCCAGGAACCCCCCAGGACTGGAGTCCACGCATGGGTCACTCCGGAAGGGGCTGTTCTCCCAGGCTGTGAGGACAAGCTGGGCCTAAAGGTCCCCTTTTGCTTCACGTTGTTTTGCTTTCACATTCTTTGGTCTTCTGGTCGGTGGTTCTTCAGCTGTAAGCGGTCCAGACTCCCTGGGGAGCCAGATAGCCTAGACACAAAGTCAAATAAAAATAGAACAAATATGCTTCAGGTAATGGGGGAAGGAGGCGGTGGGGGTCCTTTCTGGATCCCACCTGGACCCAGAGCTCACTTGGGTCCCCCACGCAACGCTGCCCTCGTTCTCCAGCCTCCTCCCGATGCTTTTCAGGAACCAAGTCCCAGAGCAGGATCCGGGATGTTCTTCCTGGCTGCCCAGATGCCTGCCAGGCAAGCTCAGGGCTCCGGCAATGGGCACCCCGACTTTTCCAAAGAATCACCCCCTTTCGCCGAGGGGAACCCCCCCCCCCGTGCCATCTCCATCCCCGAAGCCCCGGCCCCAGAGACATGTGTGAAGTTTAACTTAGTAACGCACCTGTCACTGGAATAAAAGCAGTTGTGGCCGGGAGGTTATTTTCGGCACCACTTTAGCAAGCGGCCGCTCTAGCCCTGCCAGAGAGGAAGGCAGAGCCAGAGGAAAGCAGAAAAGCTCTGGACGGCTGCAGCTTCCCGCAGCAGTGCGGCGACAACGGCAACGGTTAGTGGCGCATGATGAGTCCTGGCGAAGGTGGCCTCTTCCCTGGCCTCCTTTGGGAGGGATGGTTTTCAAAGGTTGGGGCACCTGAGGCCGGCCTCCCGACTGTGTCCTCTGCCAAGTATGGAGGCCGGTGGTCCCTCCGGCTTTGCATGTGGGCAGAGGGAATCTGAGGTGGCCACTCTGCCGAGCAAGCAGGCCACACCTGCCAGGTCAGAAATAGCAAGGGGGGAAGACACCACGGCTGCAAGTGCTCCACCTGGACGGAGCAGCCCTTAAATCCCCCCCCCCCCGGTCTTCAGTCCAGGGAGGCTTGCAAAGAGCCAAGGCAGGAGGGCTGGACTGGGCTTTATTATTTTGGCCTGAAGACACGTCCTCTTGCTGGGTCTGGAAATAGTTGGGGACGTGGGCAGGCCCTCCCCTCTGCATTCCTGCCTGGACGGGAAGCGAACAAAAACATGTTGTGTGTCAAGGACTGGAAGGAGCCGAGGAGAAGCCATCTCCCGAGGGGTTGCTTGAAGTGCAAGCTGGCTCTTTGGAGGAAATCCCTCCCTGGAGTAGGAAGGCAGCCCCAGGCTGCATGGGTTCACGTGGAAGTGAAGCTCCCTCTCTTCAGGGGGGCTGTCTTTCAGGAGGTATTTGGGGGAAAGGTTCCCCAGTCAACCGGATTCCTCTCCCAGGACTCCCCATCTTTTGCACTGCCCTTCCGTGGCTGTTCCTCTTGCCTTAGCAGCCAAGGTGTGTCGACCAGGAGCATCTTTTGAAAGACTCTTGAGGGGGCCATGTAGCACTCAGCCCCTCCTTCTGGAGGGAGGCCTGGAGGTTAACCTTTCCATCCCTCCCCTCTTCCCATCTCACCTGTTCCTTTCTGAAGGCAGAGGAGAACCGTTTGATTTTCGGAAGCATGAAAAACCCTCATGAAAAGGATGCTGTTCTTCCCTTCATACTTCATACTTTTAATGCTTAGGTTCCTTTTATCAGCTCGATAGTTTGCTGGCTTATTTGCCTTCCTTTGTTGTCGATCTGCACAAACCTAGAATTCTAGGTATCCCCCAGACTGAAAGGTAGGAGGGCTTAGAAGAGGTTGGCCCCTGCCTTCTTCTGGAACAGAGATGCTCACGTGCCGCGTTGGGATTCCTCGCCGTGAACCTTTAGGGCTTCCCTGCCTGATCAAGGTGAAAGTCATCTATACTTGACTCCAATCCAAGCATATTTAAAACGGTCTGTTTTAATCTCTATGAGTTCACCTGGTTAGATCTTACTCCTTTCTCCAAGTGATGCTCACTTAGTTCCTTAAAACCTTCTTGGTCCTTTTCAGTTAGTTTATTTCTTAATCGTTTAAGTTATTACTTATTCATTTAAGATCCCGGGATATTAAGCTCACTTTGTCCAAGCTGGGATCAGCCCAGTGGCGGGATTCAATATTTTTAATACCGGTTCTGTGGGCGTGGCAGAGGAAGGAGACTGTAAATCTCCAGTCAGAGGTGGGATTGGCCGGTTCTCTGAACAACTCAAAATTTCCGCTACCGGTTCTCCAGAACAGGTCAGAACCTGCTGAAGGCCACCTCTGGATCAGCTCCTGCGAATGAGAGGTTGGCTCCAGAAGGCCAGGTCAAAGCCACTGAGCAGTTGGGGGCAGTTGGTGTGATTTAATGCAGGGGTCTCCAAGCTTGGCCACTTTAAGACTTGTGGACTTCAACTCCCAGAATTCCTCAGCCAGCAAAGCTGTTGAAGTCCACAAGACTTAAAGTGGCCAAGCTTGGAGACCCCTGGTTTAATGAGATAGTAAAAGGAGTTCTATGTGGAAGGAAAAACGGGGCGTCCGACTAGGATGCTTCGGGCTCCAGGGGCACTTCTGAGTGGTACCTGGATTGCTCTCCTGGGAACAAGAGGGCAGGAAGGGACAGAGGAAAACGTACCTGGAAGATCTACTTCCGGAGTACGTTGAATGTTGCCCCCGGTCCTCCAACTCCCTCAACGGTCCCTTCTTCCCCGGCAGTGATGAACGGGAGCAATCATTCCCCGACGGCCATCAACAGGGCGCCCTCCACGCCCAATGGCTTCAGCAACGGGCCGGCCACCTCCTCCACCGCTTCGCTCTCCAACCACCAGCTCCCTCCGGCCTGTGGGGCTCGCCAGCTCAGCAAGCTGAAGCGTTTCCTCACCACCCTGCAGCAGTTCGGCAGCGACATCTCCCCGGAGATTGGGGAGCGGGTGCGCACTTTGGTGCTGGGCCTCGTGGTGAGTTCCGGGCCCCTTGGGGGGGGAGGGGTTGACGGGTCAAAGACAGTCCTCAGACTTACAACCACAGTTGCTTAGTGAGACAGTTGCTAAGTGAGTTCTGCCCCCTTTTACGACCTTCTGGCACAGCTGATTGTCGGCACAGCTGATCATCAGGAAGGGAAAACAAAAAGAAATTCCTTAAGGGGAGACTGGGGGAGAACGCAGTCAGCGAGGCTGTGCATGCATGATAAGGGCTGACTGGGCGGGAGGGGCGGGGCCAGCCAGGGGCACAATTTGCTGGTTCTCTGAACCGTGCAGAATCATAACGACCGGTTCTACAGAATGGTCCAAACCGGTAGAATACCAGCCCTGAATACAACCCCCTGCAGGGCAGAATCTTAACCCAGCTAAAACCCAACGAGCACAATTGTTGGGGAAAAGCCAAGGTTTTATTCGTCACACAGCAGTTCGGTCTAGAGAAGCGATCGGATTTTGAAGGCACACGCTTGTTTTTGGAGGCAACAGATTAACATGGCTACCATTCTGGAGCTTGTTGGTGCACAACATGCCTGGGCCTTGTTAACCCACCTTACCCAACCCAACCCGATGTGATGGAATTGCACTGCCCAGAATTTCCAGCAAGTTGTTTGGGAATTCTCTGTATTCCTCTCCGAGAGGCATGGAAACACATCAAGTGGTCAGCAGAGTTGGCCTTGAAGAAGGCAGCTTGGATAAAGGCCCTTAGGGCTCCATTGTGGCTTCATCCGTTGACCTCTGTTGATGTTCACCCTGTAGAATTCCACGCTGACCATTGAAGAATTCCATTCTAAGCTCCAGGAGGCCACCAACTTCCCCCTGCGCCCGTTCGTCATCCCGTTCTTGAAGGTAAGGCTTCCTTGTCTCCCCCGGGTGATTCGAGCCCCACTTTTCTTGTTGAAAGAGAGGCTGTGGCTGACCTTGGTCACCGTGAGCCGAGCTTTCCAGCCCTCCTTCATGTAAGGCATTTGAGAACATGCATTAAATGCACGGGAAACTTTTATTTTGGAAAACCCTGCTGGGTGATCAGCACAGCCAGCCGTAGGTGATCCTCCCTGGTGGATCTCAGTTGGCTTCCTAATAGCAGGACCAAGGAAAGAATGAGGATGAGTCAGAGAGGAGCCGTCTTCTCCCATGGAAAGTGTAGCTCCCAAGGACGCTCGCAAGATCATAACGGAAATTACTTCAAGATGAGGAGGAGGAGGAGGAGGAGGAGGGTCTGTTGCAACCCTTTTGCCTGCGGAAATTCCCAGGACAGCCTCTGAGCCTGAGGAGCTGCGGCCAGTCTAAAAGGGACCATTCTGGTTCATGGGCAAACCCTGAGACCGGACAAAGCTCTCCCTTGCTCTGTAGAGCTTGCTCCAACCTTGGTAACTTTATGACTGGTAGACTTCAAGCTGGCTAGCTGAGGAATTCCGGGAGTTGAAGCCCACAAGTTGCCAAGGTTGGAGACCTGCAGTAGAGAATTTCTGCCCATCAGAACAGGCAGACGAAGGGCCATCAAGACCCTCGGCCTGCCAAGACCCTCTCCCCCGCCCCCCCCCCCCCCCCAGCTGTGTGTCCTTCTCTCCTCTTGCATGGATTTCTCCGGCCCGGCCCAGCTCTTTTCAAGTATTTTTGCTTGGCAGAATTGCATGACTTCAGAATGGCTGCCTGGGCAAACCTCTGCTGGACAGCAAGGAAACACTTTATTTGGAAATCTCGGTTTTCTAAAAGCATCGTAGCTGTAACGGAGAGTTCGGTTTCTAGATTGATTAAACCTTTCTGGAGAAGCAAGTTGTCCTTCAGGTGAATTTGCTCCTAGAAATACCAGCCGGCCTTCAGATCTTTAGAGATCCGAGAAGAAGACACCCTGAGGTTGTCCTCTCCTCTCCCTTGCCCAAGAGAGCCTCAAAAGAAGGCTGACAGCCCTGGGATCACAGACCACCTTGGGAGTAAGGCTAAAGGCCCCCCCACCCCCACCCCAGTGAGCCCAATTCAACCCTGGTTCCTCTGGGGGGTTATTTGTTCCACAGAGCCCACTTGGGTGACCAACCACCTGTCTCGTTCGGTGCCCGATCTCTACAATCTTTGGGGGAAACTCTTTGGCGGAAGACTGGGTCCGCCTGTAAGCCCTGGTGCCTTTCTGCCAGGGCTGCCTCCAAAGGACGCCCCTCTCTGCCTCTCCTGCTCTCCGGCAGCCTCTCCCAGCTGTCTTCCATGGGGCCTCCAGATGCTTCTCATTACGCTAACTCAACGCAGCATGCCTTTCCCAGAGACATTATTTATTCCTTTTTATTATTTTTCTTTCTGGAAGTGTGGAGCCGAGGCAGAGAGATAGAGAGAGAGAGAGGGAGGGGGAGAGAGAGAGGAGGAGGAGGGGGAGGAGGAGGAGGTTTGCTGTCCTGGAATCCACAGTGGGGCATTTCATCAGCTCTAATGTGTTCAACAGATGGCGGTTTGGCCGGCCGTGGGCTGCTTAAGTAGGAAACCAGGGTTGGCTCGTGGCAGACTTTGCTCGCCTGCTTAATCGCTTCAGTGGATGCTCCTCCCTGGGACGAAGCTCCAGGAGAAGCTCTCTGGGCGGGGCATCAAGTAGGGAGTCATGTTTTATTTACAAACACTTTCTGCTAAGACCCTGGGAGATGGGAAGAAAGAGCCCGTAGATTCCCCAGAACCCTTGGAGGAGGCCAGAAGACTTTCTCTGGGGAGATCCTACGATGAGACTCCAAAGCGCTTCCTGCTTCTCTGGAAGGAGAGAGCAGGAGCTCACATCCAGTCAGACTCCTTCGGGAGAGGCTGCCCGCTTGCTCTCTCTCTCCGCTTAGGCCAACCTGCCCCTGCTGCAGCGGGAGCTTCTCCACTGCGCCCGCATGGCCAAGCAGAGCCCCGCCCAGTACTTGGCGCAGCACGAGCAGCTCCTGCTGGACGCCAACGCCTCCTCGCCCATCGACTCCTCGGAGCTGCTGCTGGAGGTCAACGAAGGGGTCAAAAGGCGGACGCCAGACAGGTAGGCCAGCCTCCAGCCTGTGAGAGAAGGGGGGAGGGCAGGGGGGGGCGCTCTTAAGCTCGGGACAGCCTTGCCAGGCCTTATTCTTCAGACGGACCGTTGACCCGCGTGGGGCTTTCTAGAGGCCAGGTCCTCATCCAGGAGGGTCACAGTGTAAAACAGCAAAGGGGGCTGACAGGCAATGAAAGGAACATCTCCAAGGCAGGTGGTGACCCCGCTGAGAAAGTGGAGAAGCCATTCTGGGCCCTTCTTAGCAGAGAACTCATGTCTGGACATCTTTGCCCCTCAGGATGACCAACACAGAGTGAGGACCCAAGCTCTCCCAGGAGCTTGAGGGGGTTGCCTGCCCCACCTGAGAAGCGGGGAGCACCAGTCTCCCCAGGGCTCCCATTAGCAGAATGACCGAGGTCAGGGGCCCCCACAGCTCCAAAGATATATTGGTTAATTCACCAAGCTGTAGGTTGGCCTTTGGCCTGAGCCGCTCACTCTCCAACCCCATTTGGGAGGTGAACAAAAAGGAGAGGGTTGAACTTGGAAATGTCCCCCTGGAAAAGAGCCGAGGGACGGCTTCTAAAGGTCTGGCTGGTTGGAGATGTCCAGGAAGAAGCATTAAAGTGCTATGGTCACTTCCAGGGTTATTTTTACCCTTCAAGCGAAAGGTCCTTCTGGGAAGCTGGAAGGGGCTGCCTTGGGCACTGCTTGGTCTCTGTGGCCAGCCTGGCAAATCAGCTGCAGTGCCCTGACCGTGGGGGTGGGGGGGTGTCTTTTTGGCCCAGGACCAAAGAGAATGGCTCGGACCGCGACTCCTTGCACCCTGAGCACCTCAGCAAAAGGCCTTGCACCCTAAGCCCTGCCCAGCGGTACAGCCCCAGCAACGGGCTCAGCCATCAGCCCAACGGGCTGCCCCACCCCACCCCTCCTCCCCCCCAGCACTACCGCCTGGAGGACATGGCTGTGGCCCATCGCTACCGGGACACCTACCGCCCTCCGGATCCTCGCGACCTTCGGGAGCATCCCCGGCCAGCAGGTGAGAGAGCACTGGGGAGCTGCGGGGGCTGGGGGGATAGGAAGGCCAGCAAAGGTGGGCAGGGGTCTAGCCGGGAAGAGTGGGCTCAGTGGGCCGGTCCCTAAAAAGAGAGGAAGGCTTGAGCACTGCAGGATTGGACCCTGGAAAGAGCTGGGAAGAAGTGATAAGGACGGTGCGCAAAAGAGCTCAGTGGAGCTCGCCTTCCTCCTCCTGCACCACCCCTGGGATTAAGCGGGGTTGGAGAACGGGGGTCTTTGTGTCCACTCCTGCAAAGAAAGCTCCCCTCTTTATGAGAGGGCAGAAGCAAAGGGCGCCTCTGGTGATGTCCCTGCCCAGCAGGGTCCCGGAAAAAATTGGTTTACAATTGCATTTGAATGGAATTCAGCGCTTGCCTTCTTTGGAGAGGCCAGCTGCAGCTGCAGAGCCCTAGCCTTGGCATCCTCCAGGTGTGCCCCAAAAATTGTGGCTACCGACAGGAATGTGGGTGAATGGCCCCTGGTTCCCCAGGGACTGGCGGCTTCCAGGAGGGGTTGAGGTCCTGCCCTTCCACCCCCACTCACGATGCTTCATCTCCGCAGCCGTCCACAGTTCCCGGCAAGAGGAGGTGATTGACCATCGGCTGACCGAGCGAGAATGGGCCGAAGAGTGGAAGCACCTCAACAATGTACGTTCAGCGGTTTCAAATTCTATGATTTGTCGAATTTGTACACAGCTGCCCATTTCCTAAGTGTGACTCTGGGAGGCTCATGACAATTAAAAACATCAGAAACAATAAAAGGTATGAGTGAACACGACGACTATACAAAACTCACCGTTAAACACTCAAGGAGATGTAAAACCTAACCGCAGTCAGTAGCTGAGGACCAAACCCCGGATCTGTTTCAAACAAGGCTCACAGCCACTGTTGGCCCCCCAGGCTTTGGGCCCCAGGCAGGTCCTTCCTCAAGGCCGGCAGGAGAGGAGCCCATCTTGGCTCCTAGGCAATGATGTTCCACGGCTGGGCTCCCTGTACCAACTCTAGGGGTTTGGCAACCCCTGGCAGCTGGATAAGAAGCTGCTCTAGGAATGCCGAACTTTGTGGCCTGGCTTCCGATCCCACCGGAAAAGGCTTGCAAAGGGGTTAGAGAAGAACCGGGGGAAATCGGCAGGTTCTGCGGGTGGAGGGTTGCCTGCGTGGAAGTCAAAGGCCTCAGGACAAAATGAAACATGGGAGCTGCTGCGGCCCTTCCCTTTTGGGCCTGGAAATCCCAAGCCTGCCCCCCCCTCCCCACTTCCCGGCTCTGACTCAGTCGGCTTTTATCTGTTGCTTGGCCTCACCCTTTTCTGAACAAAGCATCCTCAAGGTAGCAGACAAGAGCGGGGGGGGGGGGTTTCCCTCCCCCCCACTTTATTTTCAATCACTTCTGCTCTGGTTCATTCAGCAGATGCGAATTGCAATCAATCAAATCAAATCAAATCAAATCAAATCAACCTTTATTGTCAAGAGTATAATGAAATTAGTTGAGCCTCCCTTCGTGCATTTCCCGCCCCACAACACAACTCACAGTGAAGACCCAAAAAAATCAATCACTCAGAGATTGGATTCGACAGGGTTAACTGTTGGTTCGGTGATTTATGAGGTTCGGTGATTTATGATGTGCTTCCCTGCACGCTGTGAGGCGTATTTACAGTGAGCCTGTAAATCGTCATCAGCACGCTGCGCGCAGAGAAGCAGCCTTTGAAACAGGCCTCTTTTCCTGCTTTTTTAACTGCAGCTGTGCCATAGATCAGGTAAGAGCCCGGGTGGGCAGGTGGGCACAAACACCAGCAGACATAGAACCAGTTCTATGTCTGCTGTTCTTCAGAGCTGCCAGTTCTACAGAGGTGGGAAGAACCGGTGGAAACCCACCCCTGCAATCACTGCATAAAAAATAAGCCACAAAGTTTAGGAGGGGCCAGCAGAAAAGGAATGGACAGCCCGCATCTGATAAAGGCCCAAGGCTGCCTTTGGCCAGTTGCAGCTGACCTTCCTGCTGGCTAGATGGATGGGAAGCTCCTTCCAGAGCTACCTGGCAGAGGAGGAAGAGGAGGGGTAGAGGGAAGGGGGAGATGGAGAGCCATGCTCACCTCCCTGCTTGCTTTGTCACCTGCACAATGGGGTGGAAAAGGAGCGCACGCTGGGCAGAGGAGAGCGGCTGCCAGGTGTCACAGGTGGGCTTCCTCCCTGCAGCTCCTGAACTGCATCATGGACATGGTGGAGAAGACACGCCGGTCCCTCACCGTTCTGCGCCGCTGCCAGGAGGCTGACCGCGAGGAGCTCAACCACTGGATCCGCCGCTACAGCGACGCCGAAGACATGAAGAAGGGGCCGAGCCCCACCAGCCGCCCCCTCAACAGCACTGCCAACCTGGAGGCGCCACTGCTAGGTACCCCAGTAAGGGAGGAGGCTGTCTCAGCCCTTCCCTGGATCGAGGCCCTTGACCCCAAGCAGAGAGAGTAGCCTTCCTGCTCCTCTCCACAGACTCCGGTATTCCGCCTGCCACTGGAGCTGGGCCTTTCCAACAGCCCTCCCTTCTGGGGCCTCTCGGAAGAACCGGGGTGGGGGTGAGCGAAGGGGGAGGCAGAGGACAACTAGGCTGCCAATCCCCCCCCACTGTCTGTCATGGGTGCGCTAAAAATTGGGAGTGAGTGGAGAGGAACCTTTCCCGCATTCTCCTAGCCTCGACATCTGCTGGGGTATCTGATGAAAACCGAGCCCACTTTATGTGGTCTGAATTGGGGTTTAAGGAATAAGACACTATCAGCTGGGTTTGCAGAGCAAGCCAAGCCTTCCCCCAACAGTCTGCCAGCCAGAGAGGCTAGGCTAAGCCGCTTAAGGCTGACCAAAACAAGCTGAAGGATGGCCTTCGTGCTAGGTCTAACCCAGTAAGTACTGACCACAACTCCTGGCTGCGTTCCACCAACCCGGATGGCTGTCAAGGGGGTTGCACAAACCCATGGGGTCATCACACCCTGGACAAGGGTCTTTGTGTGGCTGTTAGGAGGGATCTTGGCACCACTCGGCTGCCCACTGGGGGTGCCTGGTCTTCCTCCCTGGCATCCACTTGGCTTTGGGGCACTGCAGCCTCCCAGCTCGACATCCTTGCTGGCAAGAACCTCATGTGGTATTTTGACACACACACCCCGCTTTGCAGGTGCCTTTGGGTGCCCACCACCCTCTTGGCTGTGTGTCACAAAGCAGACCCTTCCTCAGGGGAAGCCACAATCCGGCCTCCAGCTCTCCAGGGTCCAGTCAGGGGTGCCGACAAGCTTGACCACGCTCAAGTTTTGCAAAGCCATAAATAACAAGTCGGTTCGTTCAATGCTTCTAAACAGGTTTTTCTCATTCTGCCATTTCCCCAGATGCTCATCGTGAATTTGTATCCAGGCCCCTGTCTGGCTACATGCCGGAAGAAATCTGGAGAAAAGCTGGTGAGTTTTGGGGGGAGGGAGGAAATACTTCTCGTAGAAAATTGGCTCTTGTGTCACTCAAGCAGGCAGAAAATGGTGCAGAGGAATCTGTGGCCAGCCTTGTTTTCCCACCACTAAAAGCCAGGCGAGGGGTTTGGTCCCTTCCGGATGCTGTGCAATCTCTGCTCAAGCCTGATGGAGACTGGCTGGCCACCTCGGGACAGGAGGAGGGATTATAAAGTTGCCGCTTCCCTCTGAGGGATTCTGCCACTGGATTTGCACAGCTTCCTTCCACGTGCCAGTTAAAAACCTAGCTAGTGGCTCCTTTCATACAACAGATTTACTAGTGGAGCACTAGCCTCAGTTAGCTTTTTCTTGTAAGCTCGCATCTTGGGCAAATCCAGGCTACCATACAGTGGGTTTGGTGGGAAGCTGGAAATGGCTTAGTCAGTCATCTGGTGAGGGCTGTTGGATGAATGCCACTTGGGTGGCTTTGCTTGTCCCTGGGGAGGGACTGTGAGAGCGAATTACGGAGAGGGTGGAGCTATTTAGTGGAGAAACAGTGGGGTCTGTTTTTTGACAGTGGGGGGCTTATTTTAGAGTTTAAACCAGGGCTCTCCAACCTTTGGCCACTTTAAGCCTGGTGGACTTCAACTCCCAGAATTCCCCAGCCAGCAAAGCTCCCAGAATTCCCCAGCCAGAAGGGCAAAGCTAGCTGGAGATTTCGAGGAGTTGAAGTCTACCAGGCTTAAAAGTGGCCAAGGTTGGAGAGTCCTGGTTTAAACTACAGTTCTTATACTTCTCTCCTGAAACCAGCTGCCAGGTTTAGCAATCCTGGTCAGTGCAGCCTGGAAGAGCCACCGAAGGGGACGCTGGGCAGGGCAGGTGGCCCTGGAGCCACAGATTGACCCTCCTTTTCCCGGAAGTTCTCAGGCCTCCTCCAGGGCAGCAGCGCCTGGCTTTCTTTGGCCGGCCTGCCCCGACTGAGGCCCCTCTATGATGTCCGCCCTGCGCTCTGCCTTTCAGAAGAAGCCGTGAACGAGGTGAAGCGCCAGGCCATGTCGGAGCTGCAGAAGGCCGTCTCGGACGCAGAGAGGAAGGCGCACGAGCTGATCTCTACGGAGCGGGCCAAGATGGAGCGGGCCCTGGCCGAAGCCAAGCGCCAAGCCTCCGAGGATGCTTTGAGCGTCATTAGCCAGCAGGAGGACTCCAGTGAGGTAGTGACTCTTTCTAGTCCCGACCTGGAGCCGGGTGCCAGAGTAGCGGGCTGCAAGCAGCCATGACTCAGAGCCAGGCGTGTGCTGGTCACGTGGCTCCCCCTCCCTGTGGTTTGGCCTTGCCCTAAACTGTAGGAGTTGAGCACAGCCGGGAGCGCAGCCACGGCCCTTTGTGGATCTGCCACGGGAGAGACGGACCGGGTGCCTGGCGAAGAGTAGAGCACCTCTTGTCCCCCACGCTTGTCTTTCGCTCCGCGCTGATCTCTGTGCTTTCGCCTTCTCCTGCAGAGCTGCTGGAACTGCGGGCGCAAGGCCAGCGAGACCTGCAGCGGGTGCAACACGGCGCGCTACTGCGGCTCCTTCTGCCAGCACAAAGATTGGGAGAAGCACCACCACGTCTGTGGACAGACCCTCCAGAGCCTCCAACCTTCAGCCGGGGCGGGCTCTTCTGGCCCGGTTGGGCTGCCCGGGACTCCCGCCCAGCCAGACGGGGTGGCCGTGGCCAGTTCCATCCCCGGCGTGGCCCTGGGAGGCAGCTCCAGCAATCCAGGCTCTGCCACCGCCTCGCGTTCTGGCACGCCGGCAACCCCAGCCCCGTTGGACACCACGTCCCGCTAGGCGAGAGACAAAAGGGGACCCTCACTGCTGCTGCTGCTGCTGCTGCTGCTACCACTGCTCTCCAAATGGAAAAGGAAAAACAGAACCAGAAAACTGCATTCAATGCAAACCCTCAGCTACCTGACACGTGTTTGACCTCCAGAGCAACCTCTGACTCTACGACGGAATCCTCACGAATCCTCAGACCCGGCTTTAAATGGAGTTAAGGCAAGCCCCGAGCCTCGTCCGTTCTTCCAAGGCGGGGATGACGGTGGGAGACCCCCGACCCAAAGGATGTGGGGGAATCGGAGGCGGTGGTGGTTGTTCTTTTCTTCTCCTCCTCCTCCTCCTCCTCCTCCTCCTCCTCGGACGAGGCATCGGCAGGTATCCCCACCTCTTGACTTGGGGACAGGAAGGGAAACGGGAGGGGGCTCCCTCTGCCTCCTCCTCCCGGAGGTGCGTTCGTGGAAGTAAAAAGAACGGAAGCCCCTTCCTCTGAGAGAGGGAGGAAGGGGCAGAAGAAGGCAGGGAAAAATGGATTTCAGTTACAAAAAGCAAGCCTTTTTTTTTTTCCTTTTTGTAAAAAAATAAAAATAGACAATAAAAACATCAAACTCTTTGGCTTTAAGTAAAACAGAAAGAAAAAAAAATCCAAAAAGTACCCACAAAACCAAGTAAAGGAAGCTTACCTGTAAACTACCTTGCTAGTTAGCCAAGAAATACACCACGTTCACCTCTGCTCCAAAGGAAATCCAAAAACAGAAAAGAAAAAAAAAAGAATCCAAACTTTTTTCCACTGCCAAAGTTTCTTTCTTCCTCCTTTCCCCTTTTCTTCCCTTGATTGACTCCTTCCTCTCCTTCCTCAGGACGGAGGCTTTATTTATTAGGCTTTGGTGAAGAGAGGAGTCGTCCCGCATCCTTCGGCTACTTCCTTCTCACCGCTGGGCAGAGGCTGCGGCAGCCGCAGCTGGTGGCGTTTCTGCTCCTTTGTGTTCCTGGAGGGGGGAGGGGAAGGGGGGGGGACTTCATTGCACGCGGACCTGGGCCTGTTCCGACGTCACCCTGGAGAAGGACAGACGTGCAACCGTGGGATTCGGAGAAATTTTCGTAGAATAAAGCAAAAAACAAAATCAAGTATCCACCACTTTTGTGAGTGTGAGAAGGTGTGTTTGTGTGTATATGTGTGTGGTGTGTGAGAGAGAGAGAGAGAGAGAAAAGAGAGAATGTGTGGGGTGGAGATGACTCTACAAACTCCCTCGCTTGGTGGATTATAAAAACCCATTCTGCTTTTTTATATACTATATATATATATATATATATATCGCAAGCCCCGTTGTGTTAACCAGCCACCACACGGCCTGTTCCAGAGAGAGGTGTGCGATTCCCCGCTGCCTGCCTCCCCTTGGCTAGATTGGTTCCTGGGCGGAACGTCCCTGTCTTTCACCTCCATCCCACCCCCCACCCCCCCACCCCTCTGCTCTCCATAATCCACCCATCTTCCCAGGCAGGGTTTTTGCAGTTTCCTTCTTGGCTTTTGCCCGAAGAACCGAGAGGCGCCTGTCTCGTCTTCTCCTCTTCTGAAGACCGGGTGCCAGGTTGGCCCAGAGTCCCCCTGGCCTCGGTGTCTCCTCATTGGCTCTTCTCCCCAATCTCTCACTGGGTCTCCCCGGTGGGCAGGGGCTCCCTCCTTCCCTCCCTCCCTCCCTCCCTCCCGCAGCTCCTGTAGCTCCTGCAGGCTTTGGCCTCCTGTTGCCATTCTGGGTTCGTCTTGCTTTTTCTGGAGGAAACCAACCGATGTTTGCCCGGGGAGGAGGAGGAAGGGGAGGAGGAAACAGTGGCATCCAATGGTCACATTCTTTGCATCACTGTACAAAGCACTGAGGACGGGAGTGCAATAGGGGGGGGAGGGGGGAACGGCATGGCTGCAGGGAGTGGGGGACCACTTTTAGGAGTTCAGGGCAGAAATGTTGTACTGTTAATGTGAATGTAAATAGTCTTTGCAAAAGTTTCCAAAAATATTGCTAATAACCAGAGTGGTGGCGATGGGGAGGAGGAGGAGGAGGAGGAGGAAGAGACGTTAATGGACAACCACTAAAGTACACGTAGCGGTTGGGGAAAGGGGACCTTCCAAGAAAGGCCCATTGCTCTGCTCCTGAGAAGAGGAAATTTTCTAGAAGTGCAGAACTCGGAGTTTTCTCAAGGAATCTCTTTTTAATCCCCCTTAAACAGCCTGGACCAACTTCCTCCCCTTCCATTTGCTTGGCCTGCAGGGTTCTTGGAGGCCTCTCTGGCTGGGGAGCATCGGGGTTGTAGTCCGATACTTCCAGAGGTCATCAAATGGGACGGTGCTACCATTACTCCGGCCACTGCCCGTAGAGCTGGTGTCCCTCCATGGTCCTTCTTGCCTTCGTTGTATGTCCCTCCCCACTTTTGATTGGCTCCTCACATCCACCCCCGGTCCTCTCCAGCCTGGGAAAGAGACCGAGGTCTCCGGAGCATCGCAGGGTTTTCTTGGTCATATCCCCAGTTCGGGGCGTTCCTTCCCGGCCATTCTGTCCTCTCCAAATTCAAGCATCTCAACTGCTCTTCTTCCTCCCTGCCCACATATGGAGGCGTTTCCTTCACCAGAATGACCGGTTATTCTTGCAAGGGGCTCAGCTCTCTCTGTTAGATGGGGCTGCCTGATGTGGATTATGGGTTCACTTTGAACTGCCTTGGCTTCCACTTCGGAAGCCCTGGAGCCCTGATCCTGTGTTGGTTGGGATCCTGATGTTCAAAGAGGCAGCCTTTCGTGTTAAAGCGGGGAGGGGGATTATGGGCTGGCTGATCAGTCTCTTGCTTGGCATGCCAGCAGTCTTTCTTTCTGGGCAGTGGCTGGGTCGTTGTCCCCTATTCTCCCTCCAACTCACTGGGATCCCAAAGGCAGGCAGGAATCCTTGGGAATTTACAATAGACCAAGAATTAAATAAGTGATTGTTTGGATCAAAAGCAAACGAGGAAGAGAAGGGAATGTCTCTGCCAGAGTTTCAAAGAAGCCTCCCAATTCTTAGAGCTATTTTATAAAATGTTATCGCCTAGATTTCACTCAACGCGATGGCCTGAATTGGCCACCGATGTACCCGTGGCAGTTGAATTAAGTGTCCGTGAATTTGGAGGGATCAAATTTGAGCCGCAGTGTTTTGGGCTGCAGCCTAGGAATGCCTTCAACCCCATCTGCAAACTCTTACTTGTGCATGGAGCCACTTGCAAACTTAAAAGCAGAGTGACCTTTTTAAAAGGAAGAGACCACTCTGCAAATGTGGGAAATTGTACGTCCTTTTGGGCTGGCTCAGATCAACTTTGCACAGCTATTTCCAAGTTGACTTTTCCCAGGGATTTTGACAGGCTGTTGAATCCATCTGTGAGCTGCGCTCTGAGTCGTTCCTGAGAGTCTCTGAAAAACACGGTATCCTTTGCTCGTGTTGCAACTTTGATCTGGGTTTGTTTGTGAGGATCCACAGGAGGCAGTTGGTACTCAATGTGCCATGGGGAGAAAAAAAAGTTTGTTGCAAATAGAGGTTGCTCTCGTCTTCTTGAGGGATAATTTCATGGTCCTCCGGTAGACCAAAGGACGCATTGCTTCCTTAGCTGGTTGATGAGTCTTGCCCTCTTGTCCCTCTTTGCTTCCTTCCACACGACGGGAGTTCCCATCTCTTGAGACGGAGATCTCATCTTTCCATGCTTACTCACTTTACGATGCCCTTGAATTCCCTTCTTTGCGGCTCTCCGTCTCTTAATCCTTCTCTGCTAGGAAGATTGTCTTGTCTCCTGGGAAGAGGCTGGCCTGACTTCAGAAGAGGGGCCTTCTCCCGGAGGGCCACTAGGGGTATTATCCAAGAGGGCCACTGTTATTTGTGGGCTTAATTTACAGGTTGGTCCAAGGGCAGGAAGGAGCCGCCAGGTGAGGCAGGCCTACCTCTCCCCTGCCGATCCTCAGTGGTGGGCTCCCTGCAGAGCAAATAGGAAGGAAAGGGACCTGCTGTGGCTCATCCGTTGGGTCGTCAAGGGGACCATATGGATGCCACCGGTGCGATGGCTTCCTTGTGTGTGTGAGAACATGATGTGGGAAGAGGATGCCGGTTTGTCCTGAAGGCAAGGACTTTTCCAGAGGGCTGTGGGAGTGGACTGAGGTCACCTCCCCGTTTTCTCTGCAGCAAATGCGCTTCCCATGGGATGGCTCTGCAGAAGGCCAGCACAGCTGTGTCCTTGTGACCAGAGGGGGGGTGTCCGTCTGTCTCTCAGGATGGAACCTTTGCTCAGAGAGTGGAACCGGAGGAAAAGAGAAGCACAGAGCAGCTGGTGGGAAAACATCCCAGCACCAACCTAGCTTTAAAGACTTGGCTGAATCTCATCAGCTGGAAACCAATCCGCTGCCCATCCTCCCGTTGTCTTCCATCACTACCCCCTCCCCAGCCCGGAGCTCTGGTTCAGGATCAGGGGTGGAGAGCACGATCCCAATTCTCCTCTGTGGCTCTCATTTCCTCGCGGTTCTTGTGGGTGGGGAGCTCAGTCCAGCAATTCTGGAGAACCAAAGCGTTCCTCCACTTGAGCTCCAAGCCGGCCTCCCTTCCTGGCAGCCTTCGGGTCGGAGGGGGCACCTTCCTGGGTCTGGTGCCAGGCCTCAAGCGTCTCTGCCAAAAGACTCCGAGGCTGCCAGTTGTAGGGCAGAAACAAGCCCCCACCCTCCCCAGGGCGGAGGAGAAGCGCTGTTCTCAGGGTGCCCAGCAAGCGAATCGCGCACAGAACTGTGCAATACTTGAATCAAAGGGTTTGGGAGCGTGGAGGGACATCGCTTGTTCTGACCAAGAGGGGAGCGTGTGTGTGTGTGAATGCTTGCAAAGAGGTGTCAAAAGGGGGAAATCGTAGAAATCTAAGCAAATCCAATTACGAGCAAAAGAGAACCCAGGTCCCCTCTTCCTCCCCCCACCCGCCCCGCCCCTGGTGTTTATGGGTTTCTGTGGCCATTCCAGAGAAATGATTCAGTGGTAGAAGGGTTGAGTTTGGGGGGGCCCTTCTCTTGGCATGCTCTCCCCCCCCCTTTCCCTTGTGGTTTCCTGCTTTCTCTAAATGTACTGTATGTTTGACCCGTGGAAGATGTAAACTTTATGATTCAGGTTATGTCTGTTCTTAACTCTGTATCTGTGTAATAAAGATGATTTAATATCATGCAGCCGGGTCCATTCCTCCTGTGTCCACAAAAGCCCAACTGGCACCCTGCAAGCAGAACAAACGGAAGAACAGCCTCGTGGTCCGGTTGGAGTCCCCGGCCAGCACCTTAGGTTGAGAAAGGGACCAGCGGGCTTCAGGTAGCCACGACAGGAGTGACGGAGGCTTCTTTCGCCCAGCAGGCTAAGCCAGAATCAAACTAGCCACCTTAGGGCTTAGCCGTACCAGTCCAGCCACTGAAGCCCAGCAGGAGGGAGGGGATCCCGGATGTGCGAGATCAAGGGCTTGATTGGGCCTGGCTTAATGAGATGCAGGAACGCCCCAACTGGGGCCCCTTCGACCAGCTGTGGGCCCAGCCTTTGAGTCCGACCTCTGCCCCCTTCATTCAGGAGTGACCGCTGACCCACAGCAGCTCAATTGGCACAGACTCCCACGGACAGACTTCTCAGTCTGGATGCTCCCCAAAGGAAAGTCGGGGGATAATTCAATGAATTGATGGGAACAACAGCCCTCCCCCCGTGTGTTCAGGTTAAGATGGAGGGTGTTTGCTTGCTCTTCCTCCCCTGCTAGCTTAGTTCCCCCCCCCTTGTGGATGAAATACTGCACCTGATTGGCTGTTAAAGAGATCAAATGGAGCACCAGAGATTCTGTCTCAGCTGTTGCTTCCTCCAAATTTGCCTGGCCTTGATAGGTGGGAAGACGGCCAAGGGTTTGCTGCCAAAAAGGTGTGAGTAATCATGTTTGGACTTGGGGCAAGGTAAGGTATGACTGTAGGCTCAGCTTCCTCGTGTGCAGGAACATTACTTCTCGCCAAGGGCTTCGGTTTTGTAATTAAGAGGGTCCTTTGAGGATCCTTCATGGTAGAGCGCCAGAGGTTTGGATGTCAGCTTACTCTGAAGACATAGTGGCTTGTTGCTTTTGGTAA